TTATTAATACAGTACCAATTTAAAGTACTAATACAATACAGACATTGGCATATTTAGTTTTGGAAAGCGAAGAACTATTAATATATCTACCTTTTACCTCAAATAATCTTCCTGTATAGTCTGGTGGTGTTTTTCACAAAGCCTTGTTACTGAGGAGCAGCCTGACACACAGCAGTGTCCTTTCACAGTCCTCCTGCTTACTGTAGACCAGAAAACTTGTATTTTCTTAACTACGTGTTCAGGCATTAAGCCTGACAATAGCAAAGGGTCTTCAAAAAAAAAAAAAAAAAATAGTTCTCCTAGCCCAGCTAACTAGGAAAATATGATAGCACTGCAGTTCAGAGGCACTTATCTTCTACTTAGGTTTCATATACATTAGTTTTTCGTATATATTTTCATATGTATGGTTTTGTACTTATAGATATTTTATTTTTAAAAAATAGCTACAGAAAAAAAATAGGAAGAAGTGCAAATGAGAAATTAAATATTTAAGATTATGTGGAAATGATGTGGGGGGGGAAAAAATATGAAAAAAAAACCCAACAATTTTAGTGAATCAATATCCACAAACAACATTCCCTAGTATTTTCCATGAAGTACTAAACCAGCAAGATAACAGCTACTCATGTGCCTTCAAGAGGGACATATAAAAAAGCTAACCTCTTCAAAAAGCCACACAAATTTCATTGTAACATTCTTATCTTAATTCAGGCAAAAGAATTCTATAAAGCTACTTGAAAGCCAAAAACAACTTAAGAACAACTCAACTAATAAATGTTTATCTTTTCTGTACTTCAGACACATACAAGGCTAGCAGTTAAATCATATGGTAGACAGGTAAGATGAGGGATGGTAGTGCATGAAAGAAATGCTGCAATGCTGCTGAAATATGATTTTGTGTTTTTTTGGTTGTTTGGTTTGGGTTTTTTATTTGTTTGTTTTTTCTCCTTCCAGTATCAAGAGACTTCAAACATGTTTTAGCCTTTACTGAATTTAATCTCAGATACTTTTATATACAGAAAATCCATAGTAGTATTATTTCATTTAATAGAAACATTGCACTAAGTACCAAGAACAATGAAATAAAAGGGAAAAAAAAAAAAAAATCCTCTTCCTCAAAGTAAATTTTTACTATAAAATTATCTAAGGGTTACTCAGGTTGCAGCTATGGACCTCTCCTCAGTATCCTTTACAATTTTCTTGCTATTCTAGGTTCAGAAAGACGTATACTTTGACGTTTTTGGGCTTATTTCAGCTGGAAATCTCTACTTGCAACACATCAATGCATAAATGCATCACAAACAGCAGGTCTTAAAGCTAGGGATGACTGGCCAAAAACTAGCAACCAGGATCTATACACTTGGTGAAATACACCAGCTGACAAATGCAAGGTTTTTAAGCACCCAGACATTGATACTTCAAACATACTTCAAAAGCAGATTTTTAGGATCACTTGGTGTAGAATTCCTGTCTAAATAAAATGAACTATAAAACCTACCTCTGCATCTAAATTAATAGTTAGATTTACAAACAAATAAATAAATGAAACCAGGTTTTAAGCTACCAATTTACAGTCCTTCAGTCTATAGTTTCTTGATCCCTTTAAGGCAGAAGAAACCAGCACTGCTGTCAAAAGTATTGATCCTGCCCTCTGCACAAAGCCCAGCCACCCATGCACACCCCCTTATACTAGCACAAGTCTTCATTCAGTCACACAGTGAACTGAATTGGGAAATTGATCCATGTTCAATTAACCAAGAAGAAAAAAAAAAAAAAAGGCTTCCTAGGGAGATGCATTCAGAATTACCTTCACTGCTTCCTGATTTATCTCCCCAGTTCTCCCAACAGAAGTGAAAATAAGGCAAAGCCATGATTTAGGACCTTTCAGCATGACATTGGCCATGCTGCTCTGAGGAACCAGAGACAGACCCACCTGGAACAAAATGCTTCATCTTTGTTATTGGTCGTGGAGGCAAAGCTACCAGACTTTGGGATCAGTGGGACATCCATTTGGAAACCACTTCTGTGGAAACTACTTCAGGTACCTTACTTGCAATGCATCTGGCTGAACTGACTGAGGCTATCACTCAGGTGGTCAATGTTATAGAAAGACCAATTCATACAGTATCAAATATTCCTTCACAGATTGGCCTCTCTTGTGTTATGAGATGGCTTCTGAACACCTGGGCTCTTTACACATACAATGTGATGCAGCTGGCCCTCGAATCACAGGAGTACCCAATATATTTTTCTAGTTTGAAGCTCTAAAACCAGTAAGACTAACCTTTGGCAACTATCACAAGGATAGTACTTAGGACAGAGCAATTGTCAGCTGTGCTGGACTACTCACACTCAGAAACCACATAATACAGGCTAGAAGCAGCCATGAAACAGGCACAGGCAAGGCATATCCATAAAGACACTAAGCCTCTAAAATGTACTGGAAGACCTTCACCCTCTGGAAGACAAGTCTTGGCATAATTAAAACCTGACTGTCTTCAAATAAACTTCAAGATTTTCCCCATGGTTTGGTAAGTCTGCCAATCTACTGCAAGCCTAAGATATTGAGCAACTTTACAGCAAGCTGAAAAGAGGTTGATACTCTTCTGGCATGACGTAATTCAAGAGGTGACCTTTGCAGAATTACCATCAACCCTATTGTATCTGTAAGGGACTGTCTGCATGGGCAAACCATGGGAAGTCCAAAACTATCAACAGCCCTGGTTCCCACAAACTAAAGATCTTTTTTGCAAGACAGAGGGACTCTAACATAAAAATAATCATTCTGTGATTAATAGACCTAAAACACAAGCTCCTATGTCTGCAATTGTGTAAGAAGCTGACCCTGAGCTTCAGAGAAAACCAACATGGAACTCACATGGGTAGACATTTTACATCCAAGACAGATCAGAGAAGAAAAAGCCCTGGTTTTAAATTCCTTCAGTCTTCCAAAGAAGCTTTTAATAATCATAACACTAAAATGGTCCCATGGAAGCTTAGTCAAGCTCCCATAGTAGAGCAAGAAAAACAGAGGGCACACTAGAGGTATTCACAACTTTTTCCACCATGTTTAAAGGGAATGTAGGACAACGAGCAGACATGCCCTGCAAGACTCCGGACCCATCTGGAGTAAATAAACACACAAGAGTGTAAAACGGAATATGAACAGGTACACAAAAGATAAAAGAAAAATCATAATTATCTTATAGCATATTGTCTGTGTTCAAGGGCTCAGGGCAGGACCCCATGAAGCAGAATTTTGTGCTCCCCCTCCCTACTCCTCAATTTTCCCCAGATGGAGAGATAAGCAAGGGACTTCAGGAGTAAGAAAGGCTTTGCACCAATTGGAAGTTGATAAAAATAAAGTATATTATTTAACAAAGAACAGAAAGCAAGGAGGTAGATATATACATATACACAGTTGGGAGGAAAACAAACACAAGATATAAAAACCCCAAATCTCAGATGGCACAGGATTGCTCAGAACCATATGGATGCAGCCATGCTGTGCTTTTCCCAGCCCAAAGAGAAAGAGCAAGAGAAAGAGCAAGAGAGAGAGAGAGAGAGAGAGAGAGAGAGAGAAAGAGGCACCCACCTCCTGCCTCTTTTAAAGAGCGTGTAGAAGAAAGGGGAGGGAATAAATCACTTCTGCCCAGGGACCCTCCTGGGTCCTAGAGATCATCTGTCCCACCCCCCAAGCCTCAAACCACAACACATATTCATGAATAGAAATTACTAAATTAATCCTTTTGAGGCTTTAAGGTACCAAGATGGTATTTCCCATCTAGCCAGGTCTATAAAACACCTTTCCTTTTCAGTAAGGCTCCTCCTTGACTACTCATGCATTCTTCAGATGTCAGTCCAGAGAGAGATTAGGACCTGTCAGGCCAGAAGGATGCAGACTATTTTTTCTTTGTCAGTCTATCCTTCTGAATCCTCAAACTCTCTCATTTCTCAGTTTGGTGTTTATACATGTAGGAAGGAATCTCCCTGTTGAAGAGCAGCCTATCACTCAGTAAAAGCACAAACTATGGCATCAATTGCTCTCAGGATGAAGAAAGCTAGAAGGAGAAGCCTCATCCTAAATATGTTTTCACTTGTGTTCTTTTAACTCTTTTTCCCTTCTGAAAATTCAACTAGTATTTACATTTGGTACTTTTGTAATGACATCTTGCTGTTAGTTTTAAAAATCCTTTAATTAAAAATTAAAACAAAAATCAGACTATGCTTAAGACTACAGCTACCAAAACTTACTTGTGACCCAGTTTCTAAGGAATAGGTCTTTATGAACATTTGAGGACCCCCCATAACATGCCCTTCACTTTCCTATTTTAAAATCTAAATATTTTTTTTTCTGTGTGTAATTACACAGCTCCAGTCTGCTTTATTTTTTTTTTGTATATACACAAAAAACATGTGTAAGAAACGCACTACAGTGAAGCAGAGTCTACGTACACAGAGCTGCTGTAATCTTAAATTCTTGTGAATTCAAGGTGTGAGATTCTATACTTCAATAGCATTGCCACAATGTAGTAAGCAAGAGGCCACACATTAACTTTCAGTTCAGTCTGTCTTCTAATGACTGGAAGGATTCTAGTCAACGTATGAGGTACAAGATGAAGCCTTTTTGAAAAAAATATTAGTGGCTTTTCGAACTCTTTTCACCTGCAACTGAATTTTAACTGTGGAATTGTGTTCAAACTGAACAAGAACATTAGGCTTTGCCTAGAAATCTCCTATCCATCACAAGGATGGAGCTCCTAAATGAAGATATTGATGCTGTTTCCCTTTAGCTATGGCAAAGTTTGTATGGAAAAGGATTACTATGCATTTCTTGAACACCACCCTTTAAAAAGAAGAATATTTGAAGTGTCAGCTTCTTCAGAGACATCAGAGTTACGTAACAGCCATCACAGTCAACAACACAATACACACCATTTCATGTTCTTGGTCATTCAGCTGCTACTACAACAAACAAAAGAAGAGTATTTTCCCCTTACCTCTCTGCCAGACTTTGCTGGAATCTGTCCCTGAGTCTCTCTTAATTTGCGAGCGTTCTCAAGTTCTTCCTGAAGTTTTGAAGCTAACTCCTTCAATAAAAGTGGTAATACTTCATTATTTTAACCATTTAAAACTTTTAGAAAACTTAAATCAGAATTAACTATTCATTCCATTTCTTCATGTTTTGAATTTTTATTAAATTCTAATGACACAAAAAACTAAAGAACACATGTCAATATAATTCACACAATTCTCTACTGGAGATAATTTTTTTAAAAGTTCAGAACAGAGGCATCTGTACTATAGAAACACATTGTCATAAAAACCCAGAGAAACTATGCTAAAACATGATTCAGTTACGCTAATAAATGCTTTGTGCAGCTAAACATAGATACTAATTTCTGTATAGGAAGCTAAATAAGGAAGCCTGAATATATCAAGTGTATAACCTTTCCAAGTTACGCTGCATAGCCTTTTATTTATTTATATACACACATACTCTAGTGAAATCTCTCCCAGATATTTTTGCTATGCAGTTTCACATCTCTACACCACATGTTCAACTTTGGCGCTTCAGATCTTACTTTGGGTATTAAAATGGACAAGAGGTAGAAAATGAGAACTGTTAGAGACTTGTATAGATTGGTTTTGATGCTCCTGCTCTCTCATCTCTTTATTACATAATTACAAGCATTTTAGGATATCTTGTTTTGCTAAGAATTGCCAGGTGACAACCTCTTACCCTGTAAGAAATACAGTCTTTATACTCTGACCACTTTGTTAGTTTCATTGATTGGACTCCAACAATCATGCCTATACTTGCTGCCCCAAAATTAAGTCGTGTGATCAACACTAAGCAGCGAGTCAGTAACAAAAATAGATTCAGAATTTATTTGTCCCATATGGCCAACCTTGAGCTCTGGCCACCAGGACATGCTGTTACATAACCATCTGTTCTGGTGTGTGGGGATGAACTTGTTTAAACAAGCTGCATATTCAATGTGATCACAGAAAGTCCATGGAAAAAAATATTTAAAGAGCAACAAGGCAAAGATCAGTTATTTTATTATTTATACTGTGGATGGTTGGGTTTTTTTAACTAGGCTAATTCAGAGTGCATACGTCAAAAAAAATGTATATATAGAATTTACAGTAAAATTGTAATGTTTTTTCCTACATTTACTAGGAAAACTACAGATTAAAACATGGAGGCATCTATTTTAATCATTAACATTCATTACATCTTAACACTTCACTGCTTGAAGATACTTTTCATTCACTTTTTAAGTTGATAAGATTCAAATAGACAAGATTTCTAGAACAGGTTTATTTGTTCAAATTTTGTACACCTACATATACACACACATATGAAGTCTGTGGGAAAAGAATTCATACTGTAAAATCAGTTTGCAAAGGAAAGACTGAGAGGGGATCCTGTCAGTGCTTACACATATCAAAAGGGCAGGTGTCAAGAGAAAGGAGCCAGACTCTTTCCAGTGGTGCCCAGAGATAGGATGAGGGGCAATGAGCACAAACTGGAGCAGAGGAAGTTCCATCTGAACAGAAGGAGAAACTTCTTTGCTGTGATAGTGGTGGAGCACTGGAACAGGCTGCCCAGAGATGTTGTGGAGTCTCCTTCTCTGGAGACTTTCAAAACCTGCCTGGACATGTTTGTGTGCAACCTGCTCTGAAGTGAACCTGCTTTGACAGTGGTGTTGGACTAGATGATCTCCAGAGCACACTTCCACCCCCTGCCATTCTGTGATGCTGTGATTTATAAAACGGACACATTCTCCTACCAAAATTTAAATTATGTGATAAGGGTTTTGACAAAGACCAACACAATTTCTTCATGTAGCAATAAATTTGTATGCCAGACATCATAAAAATTCCTACAAATCAAAGACTCAGTTGCTCTCAGGAAATATTTGGCACTTGAAGTCATAACATGTCTGATTTATTACCTCTTGGTGATGCACATTTTGGTGCAAATATTCTGTTACAAGAGGCAAGGTAAACAGATGCACCAAAAATCAAACTTTAAAAAAAAAAAAAAAAATACAAAGGCCCATATTGATGGGATCCACATCTAGAAAACATTATTTTATTATTTCCTTCAAAAAAATTTCAGCAATACTTTCTTAAGAGCAGCTATTCAGTGCAAGTACTTGTAAAACCTAACTTAAAATCTAACAGACTGACCTTGTTATAACTAAAACTTCCAGGCAGCACTACTGAATGCAATTAACTCACTGTAGCCACACTTAAATGTAAAAAAAAAAATCCCAAACAATCAAAAAAACCCACCCCACATAATTCCAGAGTTTAAAGTGTTCCAAAAGAGTGAAATTCTTGATCCTTCAGGCTGTTGTCTGAAATGAGCTTCCTAAAGCCCCCTGAGATGTGCAGCTGTTTTATCTCAGCTCCATGGCCCCAGCCTCACCCAGGGCAGACATTTTGTGGAGCTCACCACAAATCAGTACACAGTTGCTCTCATGGCAAAGCTGGATGCAATGGCCTGTACAGTTCCTTTCAGTTTTACATTTCCATATCACAATTAATAAGTATGCTTATACAGCAGAGCTATTAAATCCTATAAATGAGGTAGAGAACAATTGATTTTTGAATATGCTGCCTAGCCTACAAAACCTGGGGACCCAAATGCTCTTTTCTAGTCAATGAATCATTGCATTTAAAGCAGAAGTTAACAGTAAAAGCAGTATCTTCAAATCCTATGTGATCAAATTTTACAGGACCTTTATTTGCTTGAATCAATACTTTTTTTTTTTTTAACAACCAAATCCCTGTGAGCTTTAAAGAAAAATTGCAGTAAATTTAGACTCAGGATAAGCACTACTTAGCAACAACTAAAACATCAGTGTGCTACCAACATTATTCTCACACTAAATCCATAACACAGCCCTCTACCAGCTACCAGGAAGAAAATTAACCCTATCCCAGCCAAAACAAGGACACATGACATTTTTTCAAAGACTTTACCATGTCTCCCATGAGTTCTGCTTTCACAATCCTCGCTCCCAGCTTGTTCATCTCCTCTTCACTAAGGACCCGAGGTGGCTCATCCTTCGATGTGTATCTGTAACACACCAGCAGCACTAAATCCATTGAAAGATAATGTAGTATTCACCTGTGTAATTATGTATCACATGACTACTGTACCAGCACATATGCCTCTCTTGTCAAAATCATTCACAACAAATTATTAAAATATATTTGCGGTCAGAAGTTGCCAAGGACTATGAAGCCAAAAGACTTTAATTCTAATTAGGTATGCCTCTTTTTACTTTTGAGATCACTTAAAATTAAAAGAATTATCTATGAACATTTTCTCCACATGGAAAAACAGTCAAAAGCCAGTAGCAAGTATAAGCACACAAAAACCAGGGGAAAGAGGAGAGGAAAGAGTAATTTAAATCTGCTCTGTAATTTTTCTTTCTGGCTTTGCTCATGCTTTCACATCGCAGCTCCAGCAAAATCACCCATTTCCCAGTTCTTCTCCTGTATGCCAAATGGCCTTTCATCTCTGTAAAACTGCTTGTATGTCCATACTTACCTGCTCACAGTACAATCTTTGCCTCTAAAGACGCATGGTTGATAGGGTAGAGTTGCTATGGAAAATTAACTGGTACAGTTTTTAAAATATCAAGCCTCCCTAGCAAAGCTACAATTAGTAATAAAATATTATTGTTTCTTAATTTTAACATTAAAAGGTCAGCATATGAGTTCTCATGGTAATAAATAAGGTATCCAAGAATTACTGCAAAGAGGCATCAAGCAAGTCTGGCTCTTTCTCCAACCCTAGGAAAGACTAATACAAACTAACTCTAAAAGCAAAATATCTAACATGGAAGAGACATCAGAATACAGTTATGATATTGGTTCCTGCTATTAAAAGAGAGGCAGAATTCACTCACTACTCAGTATGGTTAAACTCTGTAGGAGTTCAAGAATGGGAGAACTTTGAAGAAGGTATCATCTTTAACTGCCAGATCTCCCCAGCCTTGAAGAAATTACCAAAGTTACTTTTGTCTGTTTTGAAGATGACTAATTCAAAACCCAAAAACTCAGCAGAAATATTAACTCCTCCAGAAACAGAACCCTCAAAGATGAAGTTCTCACTTCTCCTTACACGTTTTCCAAAAAAAGGCAGACTGTTTCAGTAAAGGGAGTAAGAAGTGTTTATTACTTCATATATGCTTTTTTTAAACAGTTCTAGGGCTAGAAACATCTTTTTGAGACTAGAGACATTGTTTTGATTCGCTTTTTTCTTGTCTCACATTAAACTCTGAAGTAGTCACATTATGAAGTATGATTTTCAGCATACACTGGCTGGATGAACTTTTCCTCTGGGGAGATCCCTCGGACATCCAATCAGCACTTTTAATTAAGCTGTGTCATAACTGTTCAAAACACTTTGATTTATAGGCTGAAGAAACTCCCTCTGTGTTTTAGAAGAGATAAAACTTTAAAGGTACATTGTCAGCATGAGAGATGAGGAACTGAACCAGCAACACCTATTAATCCAAGCCTTCACATCAATGAAGATTTACTTTTTGTGACTGATGGACAATACCACTGGAAGAGTACATGACTTGAAACTTTAGGAAGAAAAAGAAAGCAGCAGCTTATAAATTATTCCCAACAGATAACTACCCCACATATCCAAAAGCCAGAATTTCCTACAAAATTCTAAAGAAAAAAGACAATTATTTCTGAAGGAAACAAGAGGACAGGCCATACCATACTGAAAACAGAGAGAAGCTTAGGAGTTAAGAGTCAGCTTAAAAGAACCTGGAAATAACTAAGTCAATAAACAGGGGCTATATGGCTTTCCAGGCCCAAGTAATCACCACTTTACTAATAAATCAGCTCTATAATTGTATTGGCTAAGAAATATAATTAAAATATCAAAGAAGATGTGCAATTTGGTTTAACAGTACTAAAACAGAAAACACATGCAAAGGCAATATCAGCTAAATAGTATCCATGCTTAGTTCTCCTCTGTGAGGAAAAGAATTATCTTTTCTATCACACTAATTGAATTCTTTGAACTTGAATAAGGAAACCGCTTCCGTGCACAATCTAGTTGCCCAAAATTTGTCACTCTGCCCTGTTACAATTAGAATTGCACTTGCACGTGGTGACCAAAAGCTAAAAGGTAAAGCTTTTGTACTTGCCATTAAAAAAAAGTTAATCACCCTTTTTTTTAACAAAAACAAACAAACAAACAAATCTGTAAAGGAGTGGTTGCTTCTTTTAAGATAACAAAAATGAGGCAACGGTATTGCTAACTCACAAAGCAAAGCAACACCCAGCTCCACACCTTAACCCCCCACCCAAAAAAAAAAAAAAAAAAAGTTTAATAACAAGGTGCAGGGTCTTCACATGGCCTCTCTCACTCACTTTCTGCATTTTGGACAATCCCCAGTCCAAACCAATACTTGGCTACAGTTACGTAAAGTGTACTGGATGTCAGAACTCCCATTTGCAATGCAGCTGTACGGAACATGTCAGATCTTGCTTTCTCCTTATGGAAGTCATGGAGGAAACAAAACTGAGAATGCCTACCTTTAGACTTACTAAAAGATCATATGTCATTTGCACAGATTATTCGCTGCTAATTACTGAAGCATTTGTGTTTTGGTTTGGTTTTGGTTTTTTTGCTTGTTTGTTTTTTTAAAAGGGCATGATATTTAAGATGAAGGATAAGATCTAACCACACATAATCCTGCCTTGAGTGCAAAAGAAGAAGCTTCTTAACAGGGTGGGTGTTTTCCAGACATATACTTCTGAGCGTATGTTTTCATTACAACGGAGTCCATGCCTGAACTGCAGCACAGATGCACTCTCCTGGTTCACCACAGGATCCTTCCTTCCACAAACACCTATATTTTCAAAAACCAATGCACATTCCAAGGCAGGTAGAAAAAAAACTGTGGATTGTGCAGACCTTGTACCAGAACAAAGCCATGAACAAACCAGGCCTCAAGAGCTGAGAAAATCTCATAGGCTCCAGCTCAGACACACCATGAATCATTCTAATCAGAAGCTTACAAAGTGCATTTAAGTGGTAAAACCCCAGGCACTTCAGGGTAATAACTATTTGAGCAGTATCTAGAAAAACAGAGGGTCACTAAATTAAAATGTCTAATAAGGTCTCATACATCACAGGTTTAATGCTACAAAATATTTTTTTCAGAGTAACTAAAACAACTATAAAGAAAGATATGTTTCTCATTTTCCAGCAAAAGAACACCTAGGCAAGTACTAAAATGGACAATAAAACAAGACATGACAAACACTTATGAGTGCAACTTCCCATAACGCATACAAACTATTGCTGCCAGAATCAGGATCTTTTCTTGTCATGATGTATATTTGAACATGTGCTTTTTTAAAAATATAAATAAATCTATTAGATTAAGTGAACATCATGCAACCAATTTATTTTCCTGCTATCAAGGAAAATGTAAATTTCACTGGCTCCTATAAGAGTAAAAAATATAGCCACTAAAATCTGGAAAAAATATGCAACCTGCACAGTATCAAGAACTGTGCAGACCTGAGCTGCCCGTTTCTGGTTAGTCATGCAGTACTCATTTAATGTACAATTCTCCTTTGCAAATACACAGAGTAAGGGATCTGCAAGTACTACACCTGGAACAGTTATAAATAAAATAAATACTTTTAAGGTATTGTCTTGGTTTTAGGATCCAACAATTAAACATTACAAGTAAATTCATAAACCTGCTATAAGAAGTTTTTTCTGCAGATAACTGACATAAGCATAGAAGAAAGAAGGAATTACATCTGATCATACTTCATCAAATGCTGTTCCCAGCTAAATCATATCATTCTTCTTACATACTCAAATCAAGAATATTTACTTGCCCAGCTTTCCCAAGCAATTAAGTGACACCATCTTCACTCTAAAATACTTCTGCACATTCCTCCCTGTTATTAGGAAGATCTGAAGGCAAGCACTCACAGTAATAACCACACTACTCATGCCACTGAAAGAACAAGCAAGCTGATAGTACTGGAGAACAGGTGGCCTCGAGTAGAGCAAAAGCTCAGTTCCCTGCAACTTACCTTTCTAACCACCTCTCCTTACCTTCTCCATTGTCTTGCACTAGAGCAAGTCAGACAAACTGAAATTCCTACCACGTACTAGTTCTTGTTTCCCCTCCCACTCCTGTGCACCTTTTCTCTCTTCCACAGAAAATGCACTTTTCTAATCGTATTTCTACTATTTTTTCATAGGCTCCTACTTTAGAGCATGAGTTCATCTCACAGGTGGCAAAACTATCCCCACTGTATTAATTATTTCAGTTTTTTAGTCAGCATTTTCTAAAATTTCAAGTTTGCCTTTTATAAATTCAACAACAGTCAGGATATTGTTTTGCAGATTTTCTGTCTGAGAGGACAATTTTATTGCAGCGTGAACTAACATTTAGAAAGAAGCTGACAATAATCTCTTGTAGCTGTCCCTAGCTGGGAGGCTAGCCTCCTCCTAACTAAAGACATCCCATATGATCAAATTTAATACTGTCACAAAAAGCACAGTTTCTGGCAGACTTCACCATGAAAAATACAGCAAATAAGAGACAAGTGAAGATGTTCATAAAATACCTAGAACATGACGTTTTACTGTCAGATAACGTTTGTCTCTTCTCAGGGATATCATTTGGATACTCCTGTTGTGACTTCTGTTTTTCATGACTTCTTTCCCAATGATTGTCATCAATTTGTTCCCTAGTACTTGATTTTTGATCAGACATTGATTTCTCAATATTATCTTCTCTGTGCGTTTCATTCCACAGTGCAGTATTCTCACTAGGTTTTTGGAAACGACTGCTCAAAGAGCTATGAGCTTGTAGCTTGGAAGAGGACTGATGTGACTGGTAGTCTCTAGGTACATGGTAAGATGATAAATCATCTTCAGAGGGTTTCAGAAATTTGTGTTTGATGTTGCTTAGAGATGAACTCTTTTCCTGACTTCTTTTTTCATCAGAGTGGTTTTCTGATGTGGAGCTGTAGCCTCTCAATACTGAGTCCATGCTACTGTGTCCACGTTCTTGGTCTTCTCTTGACACATCTCTTTTGCAACCTTTGTCTTCTTGCGCCCATCCCTTGCTATACTTCTCCCTAGTATAGCCCCCAAACACATTCCTGTTTCTATCACCTTCACCTCGTGTCTCCTTTTTTATACGCTGTTCTTTCTTTTCTTTCTCACTTCCTGAATAGTCAGTTTTCTTCCATCTTCCACTTCTGTAAAAATTTTCCTTTCTGGATGCAACTTTTTCAGCCTCTTCCAATCGTGACTGAAATGCTTCCATTGACTGTAAGAAAGAATAAAAAGAAGTCATACTGCTTTTAAGGTTATAACATATTGTGAAGCTCCCTGCAAAGCATTACTATAAAGGCATCATTCTAGGAAAATGAGTCACTATGCAAAGGGGAAGGCATAAGCCATGGAGTGGAAAGGAAGACCAGTACAGTCTGGTACAGTAAAAAGGGAACTCACAGCCCTTCTGTCTAAGATGCTCTGTTGGGAAGGCTTTCTGATCCCTTCTCTTGGACTATTTCTGACTTGCATCGTGCAGCTGTAAAGTAAATGCTAAAGCACTTCCAGGAAGATGAACTAGAGCCTCAGAACTGTTTCATCCTGGCAACCTGGAGATCAGTGGCTTGACCTAGGGAGAAAGACTTCCTCTGTCTTACTCATTAATTTTGCATTTATGCTCACCAGATGCTCAGCTTCTATAGTGGACATTCAATTTTATAAACTAGCTAAACTCCTAAAAATACAGGAGAGTGGATTCAAAATCTTTAGTTTGAAACAGGCTTTGAACCCCTGTCTCTGGCTTTCTGGAAAAATACTCTATCCATTAGGCAATTATGCAAAACGTGGACTGTTCCTTCTTCCCTCTTTCGAGCTGAATTAAAAGCCACCAATTTTTTAATTTCTTTTTTTTTCTCCCCTCAAAATGTTACATACTGAAGCAAATCAGGCAGGGATCTCTTTCAATCACTGTCCTGTATTTCAACAGCCAGAGTGGTTCATGACATTTGAGCTCTTGTTTCTTGAGAAAGATTCTTAGATATAATACTCTTTACAATCACTGGCACTGATTAATTTCTACTAGTGCTGACAATGTTGATTTCATCACTCAGGAGTGACTACAATCCAGTTCAAAGACAAGAGTTTGAAGTCATATTGTCTTATTCAAGATTTTCACTGGCCTAATGAAACCAGCTTACTGAAAAAAAATAACAGAAAACTCAAATGCAACACTAGCCAAGATTCAATACCAAACACTTTCGACCAGTACTTTTAAAGACAATACTATAATTATAGCGAGTGTAGGCTCTAAAAAGTTAATACTGTTATGGTAGACTGTTCATTTAAAAATATATTTTGAAGACTTTTAAACCCTCCAGAAGCAAACAGCTTTCTCAATATATCTGGCCTGAGCAGATCACAAGTGGCCAGAAGATTTATACTTGGTAAAATCTGGCACAGCTCCCCAAATTGTCCTAGTATTACTATCACCCACAACACATTATCTGTCACATGCAGGAGAACAAAACGTTTTCTAGTACACGTCATAGGTTTGGAAGCACTCAGGTACTTTTTAACTGGGATTATTTGAACCTCCAGATGTAGAAAAGTATTTTAAACTTGCTATAGGAACCCAAATATTCAAAAATGTTTAACAGAAAAAGATCTAGAAGGCTGGGTAGCTTTAAACTCTTCCATCACTTGGAAGAAGATTCAGAGGCTGTTTTTTCCTGCTTCTTTCCTGATGGCTTACACTACACATGAAGTATTCGTGCCTTTACATGAAAGTGAATTTTTCCAAACATCTGTTAGCATGAAAAAAAATTAACTGAAGATCCTTACCCCATACCTCTCAGCTACAATTTCCTCAAAATTTCGTTTCTCTCGCTCAGCCTGCTCCTTCATCCTTTGGTATGATTTTTGCAGCCAACTTAATCCAGCATCTTCTACCACTGTAACTGAAGTGGAAAACAATGAAAGGTCATAGTTTTATAGGTCAGTGGTCACTCCTGTTTAACCTTACTCTGTATGTGACATTAAACCTTCACCCAAACTTCATGCAAAAATTGAAAAGGTGCAAAAGAAAAGAGAGAATATAATAATATATGTTTTTATAAGTTAATGCTGGATATACCTCAGTAATACCATTGATTTAATTTAAGCTTCTCCTTTTTATAATAGAACACAACAAGCAGTTTCCAAGACAGAAGTGGCATATGAGAAGTTATGGGGGTTTTATGAAATTAAAGAACCTTATGTTTTCCACTTTCTGTGTTCACTCTTTGGCATACCTACCCCTTACATATAAAGAAGCTCATTCCCCTTCTTAGAAAATTAATGAGCAACCCATTGATTTCCATTTGGGAAGCCAGCAGAGGTCTTCACATCCAGGACACACGCTCCTCGATGCCTGCCACCCCTTGCAGATCGCAGATCTCTGCAACTCCTACAAGTGGGCACGAGGCTGGTGGCTTGCAGGACACACTGTCCACAGGGACAGGCTCCCAGAGAGAAAAGCCAGGGACCCTACTGCTCCCTGCTGACAGAATACAAGGATCCTTCTTATCACAGAAAAATGTTCTAACTGCCTTTGCTGGAAACAGGCAGGATAACCCCAGGGTAAGGAAAGAAGTGAAAAGGTTACAGAAATAATATTTTTCACAAACTGCATCTGTAATGTACTTCATTTTACTGTGACTCAGACTTCTGTGGTTGAATATTTTAAAACTATAATTTGTGTAATGGAGTGAAAGGAAGCAAATGAAATTACAATAATTTATCTTGTCTTGTTTAAATCATACTTTCCTCTAATTGGTTCAAAATGGAGAATTTCTATAAAGATATTGAAGGTCATACCATTCAAAATTAAAAACAAGTGAAGAGAAATTCTGCAAAACAACATACTGTGATATTAACCCAACATTCAATACTGAATTTTCATCCAAATTTTACTTTATCGCATGTTATTCATAATCCCTTTACATCAACATTAGTAGTAACTTGTAACTACACAGAGACCAGAGACAGAAATTTAAGATTATTACTAAAAGTTTCTGTTTACCTTTCTTAACTGAAACTGTTTCATCCTTCTCTGGTGGCAAACCTGTACCACCATCTTTCCAATAGGGATTGAGTTCTCTCTCAGACAGCATGGCCTAAAAAAGAAATTAATGTGTGCATAATATATGGTTTGTGTTTTTGAGAATATTTGATACTATTATTGACTGGACTATATTATGCTAAATTATAATCACTGGACTACATACATTGGATTATTATTCATACTATTCATATTCAATTTATTGGTTCATCCCTCACACAAAATTTAGTAAGAAGCAGAAAAAAAAATTGATATATTAATTCCTCCTACCTGCTCAAGTTCTTGAGCTTTCTGGCGCTCCAACATTTTTTCTTTGTGTCTTTCACCTTTGACAGCTGCTGCTGATGTGGTTTTCAATGACACGAAGTCTAAATTCATCCATTCTTCTCTCTTAAAATAAATACAAAGAATCAATGTTTATGTCGCCAACAAAAACATGGCCTGGGTATTAATCCAATCAGTGATAAATGTTACCTACAATAAAGAGTATAGGTTTTAAAAAGACATAAGAAATACTTTAATGAAAAGTAAATACACTTTTAAGAACCCAAATCTTTCATTTGTTTAATATTCATTTACTTGAACAAATTTCATAAATGTCTTTCTGTAACTTGAACTATGTCGTCACAATGTATTTAAGACACAAGTAAATATGCAAACTGCACAGACTGCTTATTATGCCTAAACAAACACTGTAGATCTGGATCAATTCCTTTTCATCTTGCTGCTTCTGACTTCATGACCTCTTACACCTCTTCTGGCATATACAAAATCTGTAATCAGTAGCTGAGTACAGCTCATACCTCAGACATCTAAGCACTAACTGCACCCTCAAATTAAACAGGTACACATCTAAATTCTATGAACTGTACCCACAATAACAGGTAGAAAACTACATTTACAAAACATAGAGCCAAACCAAGGACATATTAAGAATTACAACTATAAGAAAAGCATCCTGTAAAAATTCTAGATGTATCTACTACCTTTATACACACAAAACCCGAGTCCTCAAAGGAAAGCAGTGACATACACATTATAAAAATCTACACAAGTATTTGGAACATGTCTGTGGATAATACAGCAGCCAAAATTACACTATTACACTAATTTTGAAACACATGCTTGTAGAAGGGTCTTTTTATCTTCAGTAGAGTTCAAGTCTGAGTTGTCAGTCCAAATAGATGCTCAATGTCACATACTCTGCTATCATATTATAAAAAAAATTGTCTTAGGCAACACACCAGAGAATTTCACAGGTGAAAGAACATTCCACTTCTCAGATCTCCTCTAAGAAAGAAGGAACTGAAAAATAATCTGTCTTCAAGTGATTCAAAAGAATCTATGCCCACATCCACAAGCAAAGTGGATCAACAGAAGTGGACATACATGAGATGTCTTGAGGTCATCTGGCCCAACCCCTCTGCTCAATCAGGGCCACTTCGAGCCAGCTGCCCAGGACTATGTCCAGACTGCTTGTAAAAATCTCTGAGGATGGATTTTCCACAGCCTCTCTGGGTAGCCTGTGCCAGTCTCTAGTCACCCTCACAGCAAGACTGATGTTAAGACAGAACTTCCTGTATGTGTTTGTGCCCATTTCCTCTGCTCATGTCACTGGGCATCACTGAAGAAAGCCTGGCTACGTCTTCTACGTAGGCTTCAGATTTGCAGTTTGGGGATTTTTTTTTTTTATTCTGTCTTTATTTCTGTCTTTTTCTTTTTTTTCCTTTAAGTAAGTACACTTAAATAGTCCAAGACTGGTCCTATGGAGCACCTGAGGTGCACTTTGAGAACATTATCTTGTGTTCTAGCTTAATCCCACAGGAAATGGATTTACATGCTCCAAGACTTCTTCATATTGTGAGTCAAAATACAAAAAGTAGGGATGACCAGGAAATGCCTTTCAAAAGCACATTCTTTGTCGAAAAATAGGCAAGCCCAGGAAATACACTATACAAGAAATGCTTAAAAAATAATATTTTGCAGTAGAAATTATCATGACATACATAAGTATTCCTATTTAATTGTCTGTAAAATAGGTTTTGTTCGACACATTGCAAAAGAGCTGTCAAGAAGTCTAAGCACATTTCACACTTAGTCATGCTGAATTTATTTCTGGAGTAGTTACAGGTCTGCTCACCTGCAGGGAGGGTTCTTTCACATCATCTGATTGCTTGTTGACCTTCCAAGCTTTCTCTGTGTTGTCCGACTGTGACACATTTGACTCAACCCATTCAACTGAAGAATCCTAAAAAACGAGTTTAATGTAACGAATAATTATTAACACCTCTAACATACTATTATATGTTGATAAAAAGCAACAGCTAACAAGTTTATTGATAATCAAAATTGATCTCGAATAGCATTACTAATACAATACTGTTTATTATTTTAGAATGCTGATATTAAAAATGGAATATTGATATTCCCATAGGAGATTGATCTTTCATGATCAAAACATACCACCATCCTTCATGAGCTCATCACAGTATGTAATGCTAGTTCATACTGGCAGTTTATTAGCATAATACTGCTAAAGTTAGAACTGGCAGGATAAAAACAAAACCCAAGCCAATTGTTTTTATGGCATTGCAAAAACAAAATTTAAAATAATATAAGTTAATTACAAAGTATGTTTTAGATTAAAAAGGTAAAATCAGTAACACAGTACAATATCAGACACTGTACAAGCTACCTCCTCTTTCTGTACCCAACGTCCTACACTTGCAGTGCACAAAGACTTTATACTTGACACAAACAGGACTCCACTGAAGAGTTTCTTTGCCATTTACATGAACCTGTCATGGGAATAACAAATTTTGGATCAAAGACATCAGCTAGGACTGTTGTATCCTGGGACTCACTGATGTGATCTGAGGGGTTTAGATGACTCTAGGAGAAATGTGAGAGATTTGTGTCATACTGAAGAACAGCTCACCTCTGATACCAGTCCCTGCAAAACAAATTTCATCATGCTACATGTTACTTCACTCAATAAAAAAGACTCTCTGAAAAGAAAAAAATTACAGTGCTACCTGACTTGCACCAAAATGCTGGGAGGATGTTTTACACAACATGGCCAGAAAGCAAGCACCCAGGTTTCTAGTGCAGTTTCTGAACTGTTTTGCAAGAGGGCCCCTCAACATGAAGGCATCTGTTTACAGATTCAAATGCACAAGTATGAGCATTCCTTCAGACCTACATACAACTCCCATGTTGTCTGGAGTTTCCATGGTTGAACATCCACGGGAAATCGCAGCAGTAGCTCATGCTTAAAATCAAAGCCAAGTATTTGAAAGTTTAGACAAATCATTCTACCATATACCACTGGCTATAGGAAACGTACAAATTTTTCCACTCTTTTCTAGAACAGGGATTTTATTTCAGTTTGTATCTGCTGAAAAACTATAAATCCCTCAGTTGCTAATGATTGAATTCAGTATTATAAAATTCACAAGCACTCACAGAACAGCATCTTTTCAACTGATCATATAAGAATGAGTCTTAATTTTACTAACCATGTGTACCCACAAGGACTGAAATGGTGCATGTTTTAAAAACGCCATTTAAAGCATTTTTTGAAGTTTCTTACTTACCGAGGAACTATCCAGTAAGTCATCCTTCCTTTCAGCTTTTTGTTTCTTATTTTTCTTCTTTTCTTTCTTAGCTTTTTTTGAATGCTTCTCCTTTTTCTTTTTTTTCTCTACAGAATGTTCCTACAAGTACATGTTTGTAAATGAGATCCAGTAAACCAAATCACCCACATACAAGAAGAACACTCACAACCTACTTATCAAACCACACTGAAAAAGGTAAAACACACACAGCTGGACATCCTTTTTTTTTTACTCCTATACCCTCTCTCTCTTCTGCGGAGGTGTGGAAATAGGGAGACCATGCCACACATCCATAAGTGACTTTTCTTCCCCCTCTCAGTATGTTTTTCACTGGAATGAAGGCACTATAACTGTACATAGAATATCTTCTGTACTGCATTTATTTCAGTCAAATCTATTTCCTTGGGAATCACTGGGTCACCAAGACACATCCGTCTTTCAAGAAATGGCTACACAGATTTCTATACTAGCAGTATGTGATACTCAGAGGTTCCATTAAGGCTTCTCCTGTGAGTGACAGTAAATGGGACTGCTATGAAACCCTGCATCCTCCAGATTTCTTCCCATGGGAATATTCTTGCCTGGCAGCAGTTGATCTTCTCCATTTGGTAGAAATTAAAGCCGGAATTGAATGACCGAAATTTTCTTTGTGAGTAAGAGATTATTTCCACTTATTAAAAGCCAGTATCGAAGCATGAAGAATTCAGAAGTCAGGAGGTTTTTAAAGATCACCCTGAAAGCCTTCTGTTCATACAAACATGCTGCAAACCAAACAATGCAATTCAATGATTTAGAATTCTGTCACCTTTTCCAGTTGTTCCACACGTTCGTTCACATCAGCAAGCATCCACGTATCTTCACCCCGCAGATGCTTTAGCAGTTTCTGCCTCTGCTTCTTTTCATAACTCATTTTGGCCTAAGATGAACAGAGAAGAAAAAGAATCAGGTGGAGTTCAGTAGCATTTACTTCCAAGGTACACGTTTGTAAGCCATACTGATACGACCATACACAATGTTGAAAACTGTGCTTGAGAACTTTTCCTTTTAGTGGACTGCAGTTAAAACACAACAAACATACATCTGTGTTACATGTTAAAGGGGAAATTCAGCTAAAACATATTATGCACCCCCTTCCTCATGCTACAGCTCTAGCACTGATTTCATCCCATAATCCTAAATAAGAGTAATACAAAGACATTCAACTTCCACTCTTCATTCTGACAAGTTCTTAAAGCCTTCATGAACTGCATATGATATGACATGATATGACATGATATCACAGACTTCTGATTTTCTAGTGCAAAAAAATTCTCTGGGCAATTACTCTATTGCAAAGCACAGCTCACTATCTGTTAATCTGAGAAGTCACCAAAGTCTATCTTTGTGCATATTCAACCTTGACATTATCCCAGCCAGGTACAAAATATGACTTTCACAAACAAGTTTACCGAAATTTAGCTTGCCATTGGAAAACTCTTTATCCCAAAGTGCAATAGATCACCACACGATTAAACAGAAGGAAAGTTATTTTATATTATTATAATCCTAATTTTGTGTGAAATAAGTCTTGCAAGTTTGAGCTTGGTTTTGGACTGTTGCTTCTTTGGGAGGAAGAGGTTTAAATAACTGAAGTCAAAGCAAAAACTAAAGGTGGAGTTTGGGTTCATCCGGAAACAATGAGTTTTACCAGAACTGTTTTCAATCGTAAGCCAAGAGATTCCATACAAGATTTAAGAAGACCAATATTTAAAAAAAAAAAAAGAAAAAATCATCTCAGAAGATTGGACAGATGAAGTCTTTCCTCTTGGTCAGCCATTTGTTCTCTGCAATAAACTCTAGATGGAGTAACCTCCCTACCAGGGGCCAGTTTCTCTTTTTTGATACAGCTGAGAAGCAAACCTGCAGCTTTTGTACTGACAGAAAATGAGGCTTGCAGGAGGATGACCAGCACACTGTAAAGGTTCAATGAACAGAGATACATGCTAAAAAGTAAGATTAAATGGTTTATTAAAAAATAAATAAAACAACATAACCAAAGCACTTACTCATAAGGCAGGAGTGCTGTTTTATTTCTGAACATCGGCGTTAGCAATATTGAAAATGGCACAAAAAAAACCAACCAAAAAAAAAAAACGCATCTGTGCCCAAAGGACCCTTTTAACCCTTCATCATCTACCTTCTTAGAAGTTTCAGGTGATAAACTTTCTAATGGACTTCAGTGCAAGCAAAGCAAAGCTACTACCTGGACATAATTTTAAAAGAAGGGACTTTGCAAAACCAAAATCTAAAATAGTTTGAGTCAGCTAAAATAAAGAGGCCAAGACTGGGATTTCCATCTCTAGAATGAAGCTGACAGTCTACAAGGGTGAATATTACACCTTAGGATTCAGAAGGCAGGTAAAGAAAGAATGAGTTAAGAGCACACTGCAACATCTATTCCAATATCAAAACAGTTTTCCAGTTTATAAATTAGAAAAAAAAAAAGTAAGCAGTACTCTAAGTCAGTGAAAGTGAAATAGCTGTTAAGCATAAGAGTCACCAAAACCACCCAGGACTTGAAAAAAAAAAAAAAAAAATGCAGCTATGTTTCCTGCTGCCTCTCCATGATCCAGAGAGCTCACTGGCTAACCCTGGCCACCCTGAGACATCTGTCCATCTGGGGACAACACCCTTGAACGTTCATAAGGCAATCACTGATCAATATTTTCTCTTCTAGTCCATACAGACACCAATGACCCTTCTGTATCAAAAATATATTCCTCTGATTGAAATGCAGTAACTACACATTCCATTCGTGGACAAGTGAAGTGTAATGAGCCTACTCCATTTCACTTCCAGTTGAGAAAGACCTGCTGCTGGAGCCAACAGTTCCCCTCCTCCCCTTTCGCAGCTCCTAGGCATAAAAAAAAAAATAATCTATAAACACCTGAAATAAAGGCAAATCAAGATCAGCTTGTCAGTATGTCCTCATTTAATATGCTCTTTGTCTGTCTGGGAAGATTTAGCTTCTTATCCTTCTCTATAACAAGAGATTTTTTTTCAATAAAATTACTATTCTTTCCATGTTACCTAAGTTACAAACATGCATTGCATAAAATGAAATTAACATTATAAATAAGGTACAAAAGGAGCTTTTATACTTTTTATTAAACCTATGAATAAACAGAAAATATACAGGCGAGTATTTAGGTAATTGAGACACATGATCCTAATAAAAGAGGTGGATCATCGTTTTGGCTCAAGTACACAAATACGTATTCAGAACACGGAACGACTAGAAATCATCATCAAACTGCAGCCTCTTGTCCCCAGAATGCTAAATGAAACTGGATTGAGCAAGATGAATCTGTAGTGGCAATACCACCAGACTGTTAAGAAGAGAAAGACACAAAAGCATCAGCTGAAAGTTTGTTTCCTCTTAGACAAAGATACAAAATATAAATTCTTAACAATACCTGTCTTTAAAATAAAAAGAGAAAGCTGCCTAGATATATAAAAGTCTGAAAAAAGTTGTATTTTCACCTAAATTATCATTTTAACATGCAACTAGAAAGCTAGCAGCAATACCCTCTGAGTCTTTTCTATCTCTAAAAACTGTCTAGCTCCCTCTACCATCAAATTACAATATTAATTTTTGGTGGTGATGGATGCTTTTCACACACACACACACACACTTATTTCAAGGGTGAGGGGAAAGAGAAAACTCTGTCTACACTACTTTATTAGCTTCAAACATTACATTTCTATTCTACTTGTCTTTTATAATGACATAGGGCTTATTAGCAGCTTATAAAATGTAGAAACGGAAAAAAACAATAGTTCAGTCCCCTGTTAGACCTGCCATTCTATGCTATGAAGGCCAGCTCTTATAGTTTCATATCTCCCCACTGACAGGAGTTCAAGCATTTAATTCACATTAAGGTTCATTAATACTTTAGGATGCCACAAAAATATCCAACAACTTATCCTTTGTCCTTTATAAATGAGTACTTAACATTAGGTTCATTTTAAGTCACCACTGCAATATTTTTTTCTCCATAAATATAGGATGTTACATTTCTGAAATGCCCTGAATTCAAAGTAATGCATTAATTATGCAAATGACTGTGCACGCTAGACACAAACAGAGAGCATCACTAGAAGCAACAGCTTGTCAAGGACAAGCATCCTGCTACATTATACACTTGGGCAAGACCCTAGAAGTTGCTCATAGTCTCCTTTGCAACAAGCACAAGGTGAAGCACGATGCTGGAGAAGCACTCTGCAAGGGCAAAGAATCACATAATGGTTTGAGCAGAAGGGACTTCTAAAGGACACCTAGTCCTTTTCTTCTCCAGGATGAACAACCCCAACTCTCTCAGCTTTTCTTCATAGCAGAGGTGTTCCAGCTCTCTGATCATTTTTGCGGCGCTCCTCTTGACCTGCTCTAACAGGTCCATGTCCTTCTTGTGCTGAAGGCTCCAGAGCTGGACACAGTATTCCAGGTGGAATTGCACCAGAGTGGAGTAAAGGGAAGAGTCACCTCCCTCAACCTGCCAGCCACACTTCGATGCAGCCCAGGAGAGGGTTGGCTTTCTGGTCTGTGAGCATACGTTGCCACCTCATGACCAGCTTTTCATCCACAAGCCCTACTCCACAGGGCTGCTCACAATCCACTCATCCCTCAGCCTGTATTGATACCAAGGAGTGCCCCGATCCACGTGCGGGATTTGGCTCTTGGCCTTGTTGAACTTCAAGAGGTTCACACGGGCCCTCTTCTCAAGCTTGTCCAGGTCCCTGTGGATGGCCCCCCATCCCTTAAGCATGTCACTTGCAACGTGCTAAGGGTGTACTTAATCCCACTGCCTAAGGATTGCTGGAATGGTGCTATGAAAGCAATAATTCCTCTACAGCACTATGTTAGCCATGTTTGCCGAGGTGAGCAGAGCCAAACTTTGGAGTCTTTACCACAAGCAGGGCAAAGGGGCTCAGGTTCCACAGCCCCATCTGAACGAGGAAGGAAATAAAGTTCAGGGAAAGTGCTTTCTGGTTTTCATCAGGCAGGTCGTTCAGGGCAGCCTGCACGGCTGCTGATAGCAGCAGCTGCTAAATGAGGAATAAAGCTTGCTCCAAACGGTCTGTAATAAGACTGCAGACACAAACACCAAAAGCTGTAAAGATTATACCATGCCACCCCAGAAAAAAGCATAAAAGATCAAAGACACTGCCAATGGCTAAGGTCATACAATAAAATGGAACTTGTTACTAAACAGCCCCCCAAAGATGTCCAGAAGGGATGGAGAGATGTCATGTAGGGACAGAGGCTAAAACACTTCCTCCCCAGCTCACAGAACCCCAGACCACCTCTCTTTCCAGACCCCAACTCTACTTACCATTTCAGCTCTCACCAAGGCCAGAGAAATTTTTCCATGCCACTAGAGTCCATGCAATTTCCAAACTTTAACCACAGTCAACCTCTAGTTCTTCAGATGATAATCAACACCATTCAACAGTCAAATCCTCCATCCAAAAGAAGAAAAATTCCCTTCTGCTCCAACAAGCAACGAGAAGAAACTCTACAGCACAACATCAGATCAATACAGCGTGACAAAAACATCCAATCCAGAGAGCCACAGCTAAGTTCTGAAATGGATACTCGATGCTGAAGGGCAGAACTCCAGTCCTATCCTTCTCCATATTCCTCCTCACATGTTTCCACCACCTTCCCTGCACAGGTCTATCCCTGCACTCTGACCCCAGCGGAAGCCGCTTCAAGGATCACCCTGACACAAAATGAATCCCACCAACAGCAAGGTGCAGCTTCCTGTAGGTCAGGCTTCCAAGGTGCCTCTCTGGCAAGGGCATCAAGGCTACTAGTTTAAGCACAAGGAAAAGGAAAATGTGCACTTTGGGCAGGAAGAAGTAACAAAAAAACTC